TCAAGACGGTGCATGGGCCTCCTCGATGCACACTTCCTCTTGTTCGTCCTCAGGAAGACATGCACGAAACCGCCTGTGCTCCCAAGACCCGTGTGAACCCAACCTCCTCTTCGAAGAGGGGCTCCTCCGGTAGGTCCTGATCGAAGGGTGTTAAGGTGGGTTGAGGGTTTTAAGGTTTGGTGTATGGTTGGGGTTTTTAGGCCTTGGGCTTAAAATATACAAGAACCCTTGGTGTCTATATGTGTACATAAGGATGTGATAGAAAAAAAGCTATACCTGTATTGCCTATATACCTATATATATATATATATATATATGTATCTACATATACACTTACTTATAATTGCATTTATACAGAAATATCTATACATGTATATATATATATATATATATGTATATATGTATATATGAGAACCAATATATACGGAGGCTAGATATTCGCAATCTCAGCATGAACATTGCCACAGCTTTGCAAGTGCTGAAGCTCCTGCTCAGCCTCCATGCCGCATTCCTCGGCCGCCTCCTCCACGATCATGGGATCCTGCAAAGGTCTCGGCATGATGGCTGCATGCAGGGCCGATGTGCTCGCAGGCAAGCCATCATGCACCGGAATGGAACAAAGCAAGCCAATGCCTCCTGATGCTCTGGGCCCTGTTCTTCCTGCATGCACACGACAGTCTTACAGGCCCAAAACAAATCGGAATGCAAGAAAACAAGCCAAAGCCTCGGGATCGTCGTGCTCTCGGGTTTCTTCTTCCTGCATGCACACGAAAGTCTTTTATGCCCACAGCAAACCCGGAAAAGGCACTGCCTCCACTGCAGCTGGCACCGGCATGTGGGGCTCGTGCCGAGAGTCCTTCGGAATTATATGAGTTTAGGGAAACACACTTAAAGCACAACATGCTGGGCAAAGCCTTGTCGACATCCACCAACCACAGCTTGCTCTGGTGGTATCGCCCATTGTGCCAGAACTGCCAGCCCTTCTCCGGCGGCTCCGGCAACTCGTGGTTCTCGTGGAACCAAATGCTTTGCTGGCCATCCCGGGTGTCGATGTGCCAACCTGACCAAACACCGGTTCCCAGCCATCGCAGCTTCGTGCCGGACTCCGTGACCCAGCGGTGCTTCCGGCGATTGGGTCCTGCCGAAAAACAAAGGAAAGACTTGTAAGGATTGAAGACAGCCAGCCTTTCATTGGGTAGAAGACATCTTCCACCGTCACGAGGTCCATCATGAGCCTCTGCTCGGCATCCTGGGAAGTTGCAGGTTTGCCCGAGTCTATAGAACCACAACTTTTGAGACCAAACTGGGTCCACGGCGGAAGGGGTTCCGGAACACATCATCGTGAACCCCGGCATGGCCCCGGACTAAGCAAAGCTAAAAGCCCCGCCCCCAACAGCCAAAGGCCTCGAATCATGATGCATTCCGCCATGTTCCATGCTGAGCAGCTTCCAGAATGCTTGCATGCGACAAACAAATTGCAACCTTCTCTCTTCTGTCTGCATCATGGGAATGCATGCATGTGATAAACAAATGGACACTTTCTTTCTCACTTCTGTCTGCATCGTGGGAATGCATGCATGCCACAAACAAATGGACACTTTCTCACTTCTGTCTGCATGTGGCTGATCGAGAGAACACGATGTGCTATAGCAAACCCGGCCGAATCTCATTAGTTCTCGGAGCTGCTTTCCTCGTTCTTCTCATCGTTGTCATCATCCGACTTCTCCTGCGACTTCTCCTGATCATTGCCCGATCGGCGACTGGTTCGCCTTTTCTTGCGGGGTTTCTGCTCACTGCTGTCGACACTATTCTTCAGCCATTTCAGGTTCTCTTCGGAGAATTCGATCCACACCGATTTTGTTCCGATTCCGTCGAACAGCACCTGGAACTCGTGCCCCTGGACCGAGATGGTGAATTTCAGCGGCAACACCAGTGCATGTTTCGAAGAGGCTTTGAAAACTTGCGGCTTCTTGGACTTCTTCTTGTTCTCCGTCGCAGCATCCTCCTCCGTGTTCAATGCCTCCTGCAACAACTGGTTTGCCTTGTCCTGCCTCGCACGGATCATTTCGTCCCAGATGTCAATGTTCAACGATCCACTGGCTTTGCCTGGCCGCAAGTCTAAGGATTTCCCTGTCAGTGTTTTGACAAGGGCACGATCCCACTTCTTGAGATGCATGTAGGTCTCACCGTCGACAGATTTCTGCTCGGGGATGCAATGGTTGCCATTCACATACAGCACCATCTTCTGCTCGACAGTCAAGTTCATGGCAGGCAGATTCCAGCTATGTGTTGGTTCCTATATATATTAGAAATGCTCAGCCAGAAGATCCTGCAATCGAAACAACATGCACTCAGCTGCCTGCGAGCTAAAGAAGCCCTGCAGGCGCTGAAGAGCAAGCACGAGGCACAGCACAATTGCAACAACTTAAACTCCTGCCTTTGGAGGTGCTCAAAAGAATGCAATCACACTTTTGAAGAAGCCTCGGTCCGTCCCTGCCTGCCAATGTTGCTCGTGTGAAAGGAAGACTCAATCCCGATGCATGTTCAGAACATGACAGCCAATGCTCACTTCTTGGTGGTTTTGGCTTTCTTGGCTTTCGGGGCATGCTCCTCCTCGTCAGCCTGCTTCACCTTCAGGATATGCAGGGCAGTCCCCGTGCCAATCTCCTTGCTGTTCTTCAACATTGGGATGCGAACCGACGATTGTACGGTCCCGGACATGACCTGAACCATGTTGGCGGAATCTTCGTCTTCGCAAGATCCGACCAAGAAGTACGGCGAGATGAAGTGTTTGCCGACTTCTGGATTGCTATCCTTCGGCAAGGAGTTGCAGCTCTGCAACCAAAACTCACGATCGTCGAGCTTCCACTTGGTTTGCACCTGGACCGCATTCGCCATGGGCTCGGGCTTCGGGCTCCTCGTGCAAACCTTCCAGCTGTATGGCACCAAGATGAGCTTGCCTTTCCCGAAGACCTGCTGGCTCACCAAAGCTCTGCATGGCTTCAGCTGCAGAGACAAGCCCTCGAGAATTTTCTGCGAATCGTGGGTCTTGACCAACTCATGCATTGCCTGATGAATCTCAGCGATCACCAAGCCGGCCAAGAAATCGTTGTTCTTCTTGGGCCCCATGGACTGCAAAGCAGCAATGGACTCGGGCTCCGCTTTCGGCTTGAAAACCATCCAGCCCGAATTCAGCAAATCTCTCGCCGGCACCTTCAAGACTCCACCGGACTTCAGATCTTTGACGGTGACATTGCTGTCGTCCATGGCGCCGATTTGGCCTTCGAACTTCTCGCCCTTCTTCTTGATGCAGGCACCAACGATGAAGCCCTCAGCACTGAGGAGCTCAATCGGATTCTTGAGGCTGCCGTCTGGATTCAGCTCCCGGAGTCTTTCCTGGACCCCCTGGGACCCCGATGACTCCTGCTGCAGCCCTGCATCCATCACTTCCGCATCGCCCGCCCAAGGCGACACCAGAGCTGTCCCAAGCAGGCCATTCGCCACCGTGATGCAATCATGGGCCACTGCTTCCACGGCCTTGTACTTCTTGTCGTCCTCAGGGCTCAGGCCCAAGACGAGCTTCGCCATCGTGCAATCCGTGACCCCCAAGAGATTCACTAGCCGAGTGTCGCTCATCAACTGCACACCGGCTCCGGTGAGCATGCTGCGAATCTTGGACATTGCCTCGTCGGCTTTGATGGCCTTGGGAAGGGCATCTTTGGCCAATGCCTTCTTGACAGATGTGGCAGTCACCAGATTGGTGCTCAGTGCAAGCTTCACCAAAGCATGCCTGAAGAAGGTCACTTGGTCGCCCTTCTTCAAGTCCGCCGACACATTCTCCCAGAAGGAAGGTCCCATGCCCTTGCTCTGGCCGTGACTGCGAAGAAACATCTCAGTCTCGGCGAGAAAGAATGCATCCGCACCGCCACAATGCCTGCATCTCTATATACTTTGCATGCAGGCACTCTCCAAAACCTCTTCAACACAGACACTAGATATAATAAGAAATCTACAATCAAAGTGCCAAGCAAGAAACCTGAGTGCGAACTGATACAGCCCTGGGAGGCACTCTGCACACGGAGGCTTCGAGTGCAGGGCTTGTCTCTTGACCGTCTGATAGTCGGGCACACCGGTCTGTCGCCCCACGATGGTACAAATCCGCCGCAACAACTGAAGTTCTGATTCCGTTTTTTGTAAAGTTGCATTGCATGAGGACTGAACCAGCTGCAACAAGTCTGGCCACTTCTGGCCCACTTCAGCTGCGATGACCGTCCACTCCAGGCCTTGGAGTACATACTCAGCGAGCACCGGGTCTCGCTTCTGCACGAGCTCTAGGGAGAGACTGCCCTGAACCGAGATTACCTCCGATTTGTGGGGTGCTCCATCAGCAACCAACCGAAGTGCAAAATTCGTGTGTGAACTGCTGAGGGAGAGCACTTTCAGCTCTCCAAGTTCAAGCCGGCCGAGCTGACCGCCTGCAGACTCAACCAGCTGCTTGTTGAAGACCTGCTCAGCCTCGCTGGAAGCTTCAATGGCAATGGGATTCGTCCGAGTCGGTTCGAAGCCGACAGCGGAGATATTGTCCAACAACTCATGTACGTCTTGAACTACCAGACATGACCCATCACGATTGGCTGGGTGCACTCCCACAGCCTTGGGTGGGATTCGCATCCGCTGAAGCAGGGAGTGTCGTTTGAGCACGGCAAAGATCTGCTGGACATTGCGAACCAGAAAGTCCCCCTTCCGACTGCTCTCCTCCACCAGGCGACTGATCTCCGCCACAGCCTCCGGTGTCAAAGGCATCGCGAGCGATTCTGATCGCAGGCGAAAGTAGATTCCTTGCTAAACCGCTTGAACCAACAGCTCTGCACATGCTGGCGGCTCAACATGATCGCTGCAAAACACATGCCCCTGCAAGCAGCCCGGCTGCCTGCGAGCAATACTGCCCTGCATGGCGCCGAGCCTGCTTGCCACAGCAAATTCAGCAATAATTGCATGACCAATCCTGTAGATCCGTCCATTTCCGCCAACAACAATCGAAAATATCCCTGCTGCAGAAGCACAGAATGCATGCATGGAGCTTGCAAAACAAATACAGTTGTCTGAGTTCTGTCATACACTAAGTTGAACATACAGGACTTACTCGATATACTTAAATGAACTTATAACTTCGGTGCCTGAGATGCTTAAGTCCAGTAACATAGATATAACTAGATATAGTTAAGTCGGCTATGTGTTCCAAGTACTTGGCTCGATTATTATGTAAATACTATTTGAACAGCCTCACATAATAAGTCCTATAATTGTTTAGCACGAATATATGTTCCATATGTCTAGACATAGGCATGTTATAAGTACAGACTTATGCCAAGTATATATTCCTTTCAACTGCTCTATCTGTTTATAAACGCCCCGCCCTCTCAAGTGTTAGTCTAAAGATGACCCGCGGGCAGGACCCGCCACGACGCTGACTCACGTGGACAGACAGACAGGCTGCGAAGGGAAAAAGCTGTTGGCCACTTTGCAAGGTCGTGTGCTGGGGAAAGTCACAACAAAGCCGTCTAAATACATATATATATATATATATATATATATCTGTATATATAGTCCGAAGCCTGCGTAACAAAAGCCAAGGAACCGCGGAACCGCATGATGCTGGCTGCTGGCATAGGACCAGTCCTGCAGCAGGATGTGTTAGGAATTTGATTTCTGCTTTGCTCGGTTGCACTTCTTCAGTGCATGCACTTCGGCAGTGCCCTTGACGACGATGTGTTTGCACTTTTGCACTGGTTGAATTTCAACGCACTTCCGCAGTGCCTTTGACAACGATGTGACTGCACTTTTAATTTGCAATGCTCGAATGCGCTGTCGCAGCGCCCCTGATGATATGATTGCACTGTTGCAGTGCTCCAATGTACTGCCACGGAACTGAAGCCCGCCTCGCCTCCCCTCCAACCCACAATCCCTCCAAAACTCCATCAACCCCACCCCTAAGCACAAAAAGTATCCCGAAACCCAAACCCTGAATGCCTCCCACACCTCTCCCTCAACCCCAACTGAATCCAATGCCGCCCCGCCACCGCCACCGCACCACCAACCATCCAGACCTCCCTACCCCAGCAATTTCGCCCAACACCTCTCCCCCAACCCCAACTACATCCCATGCCCCCCCACCGCCATGAAACCACCAACCATCCAGAGCACCGCCAACCATCCAGACCTCCCCACCCCAGCACTTTCGCAGTGCTGTTGGTGCACCTTGCTCTTGGTCGCATGGGCACTTTGCCAGTGCTGTGGTGCACTTCTCCAGTGCTTTGGTGCACTTGTTCAGTGCTTTGGTGCACTTGTTCAATGCTGTTGCACTTCTTCAGTGCTGTTGCACTTGTTCAGTGCTGTTGCACTTGTTCAGTGCTCTGGTGCACTTGTTCAGTGCTGTTGCACATTTTCAGTGCGATGCACTTTGCCAGTGCTTTGGTGCACTGCTTTCAGTGCTTATGCTGCACCCATGCACTGTCCCAGTGCTTTCGTGGTGCGACACAGATTTTGACTCGGCAATAAGATAGTATCTTACATTACTCCGTTGAATTAGAAAAGATTTAGGATGCCAAAGATATGTATTAAGGTTGTTTGCGATGTACCGGGTTTCTTTATATTATTTGTTGAACCCAACATATGACCTTACGGTTTTGATTTGATCAAATAGAAAGCTGACCCCGACATGCCTTCTTGGACCGACTCATTCGACAGCTGTTTTCTAAGCGTAAGAAAACGTTTCTTTCATGAGAGGTTCACAGAAATCACATGGGTTTCATGCTCCAACACCAGATAATCCCTTTTATAGATGGAAAACAACATGGGAAATCGAGGCTAGCTATGGCACATGTTCACACCAATATTCTCTGTGAAAGCTGTTTATGTTGAAACAAACATCGGGAAACAACGTTGCAAAATGTCGTTCTATATGTCAAAACTCATGGCCCCAATAGCTTTGGCTCATGGCCCCTTTACCGTGGCCAGGGTTTTCAAGACAAATACGAACGCTTCCTCTCAGCAGCCCTCGCGGCCGAAAAGGAAGTGTTCCCACCAAACCCGGCTACTCCGCAACGACCTTGGATCACCCCGGACTTGGCAGAAAGACTCAGCATTGCCAAACGAATGAACGCAGCGCTGGACCCCAACTACTCCGCTTACTATAAAGACCTCAAAAAAGAAGCTAGAAAACGTAAAAGAGAATGGACAAAGGCCACCTTCGAAAACAATCCCAAT